GGGTTCTAGAACAAGGAACACACAAGGCTTTATATAGGAGGAAATTTTTTTATCCTTTTTTTTTGGCTGTGGGGTTTCAATATGCTTGCAAGGGGGAGAAAGAGCGGAAAAGAACGGAGAAGAACGGGAGAATGTTCGCCGGCGGAGAAACCATCCGCCGATTAATAATCATGCCGGCCCGCTGATTATCACTGGGGTTCAGCCTTCGCCGGAGCCGGGAGACAATTAGGTCCGGTTCTAAACTACTCAAAGCTTCAACAGGGAAAAATGACGTTGCCATGGATTTTCAATTTCAGACGCTGTGGTATCCAGATAAGAAGCCCGAACCGAAACAAACGCAAGAAAAACAAATTTGAAAAACTGCCAAAAATATGACATAAGATGCAGTACTGAATAGCCAGGGTATATCATGCTCATGCTCCCCCTCCTCTACTAACGAAGGATAATCATCTTCAGTCATTACTACTTTGTAGCTAAGTAGATGATGTAACGGCCCATTCCAGAAATAATGATAACCAAGGGCAACAGGGACGTCCAAAATCCCGAATAAGATCACATAAAGAAAAAACAAATTGACACCGAAAAAAAAAAAAAAAAAAAAAAAAAAAAAAAAAAAAAGAGGGGCCAAGAAACAAATAAACAAGTAAGTAGCGCAGCCAAGTTGTTGATGTGCTTAAATACAGATATATGCATGAAATATTCACAGATCCAATTACGAGTTATTATTTTTCGGTACGTTTCATGTCGAAGGACAAAAGCCATGGCGGTTTTGACGGAAGGTTATACGCAGTGCTTCAACCGGTAAGGCCATCGTAAAAACACTGGGGTTGTGTATCGGAGCCGGAGCGTTGGGTGTGAAAGCTGTTGAATGGCTTTCTGGTGCTGCATCCTTTTCAAAGGGTGGAACCCACTAAATCAACCCCATCGTCCGGAATCTTGTTGAATCTCATTTTGGCGCACGCGGCGTTCCTCATCTTGTTTCTTTTTCCGCTCTTCCGGAGAAAGCTTCGCAGTTTCAGCCATTCGTTCCTTATCCGGTACCCACAGCTTGAGCTCCGGGATCCAGTTGTGGCTGGAGAGAAATGAATGAGTAAATTGAGTTGGGATATAGTTAGGTGGTGGATGTCACCGGGGGGGATACAAAAAGAGGAAAGGAAGAAAGAAAGGGAAAAAAATGAATAGAAGAAATACTATGACTTCGAATAGAAATAAACAGAAAATCAAAACTCACTCTTCATATTCTTCACAAC